AGGCCCAACTGACTGAGCCACCCAGGTGCCCCTCGGCAATTTCCTTTTGAATTTTTTTTTTTTCAACGTTTATTTATTTTTGGGACAGAGAGAGACAGAGCATGAACGGGCGAGGGGCAGAGAGAGAGGGAGACACAGAATCGGAAACAGGCTCCAGGCTCTGAGCCGTCAGCCCAGAGCCTGACGCGGGGCTCAAACTCACGGACTGCGAGATCGTGACCTGGCTGAAGTCGGACGCTTAACCGACTGCGCCACCCAGGCGCCCCATCCTTTTGAAATGTCACAACATACCATGGACACTCTGATCAGTGCAGACGTCTACCAGTTCTCTTCCGGGTCGTCACATACAAAGCTCCGCGATGGTGACGGACCGTGCACTCGGCCGGTCCAGCCCAAGAGCGTCCCGGCCCCACTGAGAGCGGTGTTGCAGGACGCATCTTCCTGCTGGAGCTCCTACTTCAGTTGGGTGAGTCGATACAGGTGAAAATGCTGGAAGGATGGGTGTGTGTGTTTCCTCGTGCGGCTGCCATATTTACTCTTCTCGTTAAGTCCTGACCGTTCCCCGTGTGTTTTTTCGGAGGCGGGTGATGTGAGCGTAATTAACCGATCCCCTCTTGTGGAACCTCGGAGTCACTTCTCCGGTGTTCCGGTTACTCGGGGTGTTTCTAAATCTTACTTTCAGATCCACCCAGTGGATCTCAACTGGGTGTTTTTGTTCCTCGGGGACATCTGGTGACGTCTGGGGACGTCTCTGGTGGTTACGACGGGGGGTGGGGGCTGCTACTGACATCTGGTGGGTAGAAACCAGGGACGCCACTGAATGTCCTACAATGCACAGGGCACACCACGAGAAAGACTGCTTTGGCCCCAAAAGTCCACAGTGCTGTGGTTGAGAATCCTGCACCATTCCATTCAGCGTCTTGGGGACAGGAGTCTCTAGAAGGGCCTTTTTGGGTGTGTGTGTGGCATGAAGGGAAGTTTCCTTTGCTTTGAAATTTCTCTGGTTAAAACACAGATTCTCAGGCTCTGCCGCCGGATTGAAAGGGTTAGAAGCTTAGAGGTGGTGCCTGGGAATCCCAATTTTATCTTGAATAAAATCTCCAGGAGAATCCTATCCTTCCTTCCGAAATATGTATATTTCCATGTTCCCACAGATAACGCGTATATATCAGAAGGTACATTCAGGGGCGCCCGGGTGGCTCAGTCGGTTAAGGTTCTGACTTCGGCTCAGGTCCTGATCTTGAGGGTTTGAGCCCTGCATTGGGCTCTCTGCTCTCAGCAGTGGAGCCCGCTTTGGATTCTCTGTCCCACCCCCCTCTGCCCACTCCCTGCTCTCTCTCTCTCAAAAATGAATAGAAATTAAAAAAAAAGAAGAAGTGAGGGGCGCCTGGGTGGCTCAGTCGATTGAGCGACCGACTTCAGCTCAGGCCATGATCTCATGGTTTGCGAGTTCAAGCCCCGTGTGGCGTTCTGTGCTGACAGCTGAGAGCCTGGAGCCTGCTTCGGAGTCTGTGTCTCCCTCTCTCTGCCCCTCCCCCACTCAGGCTCTGTCTCTGTCTCAGAAAGGAATAAACATTAAGAAAAAAATTTTTAAAAGAAGTTATATTCAGAAGTCTGGAATCCGTTTCACTTGAGGACAGTCAAGAT